ATGACAAAGTGATAGTGACAAGTTGCCCTTGGTGACAAAATGTGCAACATATGAAAAGGAGTTATCACATTAATAGATCTATGTGAGATGATGTCTTTAACGGAGTTTATGTTAGTGATCCAATCTGTAACGATAATAAAACGAAATGATCAGTCGCTAACACTAACTCTCATTTGGGTCTCGTTTGGTCATGACAGATGGGTGGAAACGACGTCTTTAACGGAGTTCAGATTAACGATCCAATCTGTAACGATAATAAAACCTAAACGGTCAAAAGCAAATTTACTAATAAAAGTACCAAATTAAGTAAGAGGGGGAGCAAAACTTAAAAGGACAAAAATGTAAAATGAAAACCTTATGAAAGAGACGTGTGAAATGCTATTCATGAGGATCATATAATATATTTATTTGGTTGCCAAATAATTAATTCTTGATTAATAAATAATATAATATTCCACCAATAACAAATAGACACGATTTTTTTATTGGGACACAACGTCTAACACGAAAATCAATAAAAAGATTAAGATAAATATTATAATTATAATATATATCCAAAAAAGTTTATAATATAAAAATTAGATACACCGTTGTTTCATAATTAGAATATTAATTAATACAAATCATATAATAAAGAAAATTAATAATATAATATGTTAAGTTGATTGATAAAATTTCAATTTGATTATTATATATATATATATATACATACAGAGAAAGAAAGAATACCATGAAACGGAAAGACGGTAAATTTATGAAAATACGAGAAGTTTCGTCAAGATCATATATATGTGATTATAAAGTAAAATCATATTTGATACAACATGTATGAAATGACTTGGGCGACTTGGTCAACATGACTAATTAAGGGTCACAGGAAAGGTTGTCTGCTAGATATATATGGTCGGTCAAATGCAACATGTTTGTATCATATGTGATTACGTGTAGTAGTGGAACACATGTCTTTTAACCGGGGTTGTCGTACTTAAGGAGAAGTGGAAAAAATAAATCTTTAATATAGTGGACTAAGTTTTATCTATCTAAAAGATAAATAATCGTAGGGGACCTGGTCCCTGAAGGCCCTTATAGGCCTTCGCCCCTGGTTACATGTTTTTAATCACATATGATCTTGAACTTCCAGCCATCTCTCAAATTGACCACTTTCTTGTTTAGCCTTGTGTGTGTGTGTGTGTGTGTGTGTGTGTATATATATATATATATAGAGAGAGAGAGAGAGAGAGAGAGAGAGAGAAAGGAGAGAGAGACTTGGGATCATGTGAGACCAGCCTATTTTTGTGAGACCCGTGAAACCAACTGTTTACCACGTGAAACTTCACTGTAAAACACTATGAAAGTAACCTTCACAACAATATTTTTGATATGAATGTTCAGATTTTTTTCATCTCCACAATGTTCTACAATGAAGTTTTGAGTGTAAAAGTGTGGTCTTACGAGTCTCATGAAAACAGGTTGGTCTCACGTAAACTGACCCCTATATGTATACCCGCAATAAAAAATGAAAAAACATATATTAATATCAAGATGAAAGAAAGGCAAAGGAAAAAAGACACTAAGGCCCTGTTTGTTTTTACCTAAAAAGCCCTTAATACCATCTTATGTCTGAATCGGTCAGACCTTAGGATATTAAGTGTATTTGTTTTTTTTTTTCAATTAAGAGCTTAAAAGCTTTGATTATGTCTGAATTATTTAGAGGTAACATTTTCACTTAAAACCTCTTAATTGCTTTTAGAGCTTCCAATGCTTGCAAAGAAAGCCTAGATTTCAATGATTCAGATTTCAGACGTAAAAACAAACAGTCTGACTGATTCAGATTTCAGACTTCAGCACCACCTCTTAAAATTCAGAAGTGAATTCAGACTTCAGACTTAAGCACCTCTTAAAAAACAAACGCCACCTAAAACAAAATTGGTCATACAAGACACCTTACAATATTTTTGCAAGCTAATAATAAAATAGGACTTGGTTTGTAAGACAAATACCTACGCATACTATACATTGTCGACGTTATAATAATTTGTTATAAAGAAAATTAAACATACGACCCAACAAATTTTAACAAAGTTAGTAACCTAATATGAATAAGAAGTAAATCGTCTTATTAGGGTATTTTATACAACAGTTTTGAAAAATGTCTTATTATCCTTTTTTTTAATAAAACTTATTATAAAAGTGTAAAAAAAATGAGATTATTTTATGTGATATAAAATTAGTTAGTAAAGAAAAGCAAAAGTAGAGATATATAAAAGTGAAGGGACGAAATATGTAATTTAATGTGCAACTAACATGAAAGTGCCAATCATATGCAAATGTGACATAATCCATGACCTAATAAACCTGACTCAAAACAAATTAAAATAAGCAAAATATATGTTGGTATGATTCACTACACAACATATATATGGTAACATTGCAATTTTGGTCCTTATAGTTTGTTGTTTTTCTTGCATATAATCTTTATAGAAATTTTATTGCAAAAAACCCTCTGTACCGCTAACTTCTGTTATCCCCTCTCGTTAACAACAAGGGCAAAGTTGTCTTGTTATAATAAAGATATACAAACCCTAATTTTCTGCTCTCTACCCTCATTAACATTAGTCACATATGTCTCACTCTCATGATGCTCTCACTTTCACTTACACCAGAAGAGAATCCCCCCCTCCCCCCAATCTTTGTTGCCTGCTATTTTGGCTTTCAAGAGATGTTATGGAGTTCGAGAGTGGAAGACGATGAAGGTCAAAGATCTTCAAGAGAGGATGATGATGACAGAAGGTCGAAGATCTGCGATAGAGGAAGAGGACAACAAAATGACTTTGAATTTGAACACCTGGTTCTTGATCTTGTTCTTTAGATTTAAAGGTTTTGATTTTGTAATGTCGTTCTCAATCTGGGTTTTTAATTAGATTTAGGGGTTTCGATATTGTGATATCGTTATCGATCTGGTTCTTGATATGTTATATGACAATCTGGTGATAATGAATTAAGGTTTTTTGTATAATGATTTCTTGATCTGGTTCCTTCAATTCTAACCCTCACTAACTTCTTCCCCTTTGTTTTTGTTAATCTAGTTTTCTATTGGTGCATACACATGCATCTAATACCTGTTTGTGTTTGATATGTATATGACACGATAATTTATTTTTGTGTTCACAATAATGGATATTTATGGTGGTGGTTGATTTAGGGTTTAACATGGATGGTGGTGGCAGTGGTGGTGATGGCTTAACAATGATTGATCATAAAAAGTTATTAAATGTGTGTATATACAATACATTTTTTCAAATTCTTTTAAATGGATATTAATAAATCGATTATATTTGATTAAAGAAAATGAGAATAACAAGGAAAAAGACCATGCATTTCTGCACACCAGTTTGCTAGAGAGATTTTCTTGTAATAAAATTTTGATAGAGATCTAATCCAGGAAAGACAACAAACCACAGGGACCAAAATTGCAATTTACTCATATATATATATATATATATATATATATATATATAATATCAATTACAAACTAGAAACTTACAAGCCAATTTTCATGAACGAAATTTGGTCAATAAAGTTGACCATTCCAATTCTTTCAAATTCCGCCGGATTCAAACGTTTCAAAATTCCACCTTAGGATCACGTGGGAAAAAGATTTTTGGTGAAAAGCATGAAAAGTAGTAAAGGTATCCTTATATATTATGTGAATGCTACATTCACTTTATGAATATGGTGAAGGCCGGTTACAGAACTTGATCATATACTGTCACTAATTCCTGTGAAAACGGTCAACTCCACACGCTTCAAACGATATATGTGTGTACATTCACATATATCAAGTGAAAGTTACATTCCTCACGAAAATGACATTTATTACAAGACGATAAACGTGAAGTATTTGGTTTTTGATCTTATTATTATTTTTAAATAATCACATTAATTTATAAAAAAAACAAGTTTAACCCAATTCAAAAAATATATCCATTAAGAGGCCAACGGTGTGTAATTCCGTTGGTAAAACGATGAAGTAACTTTGTCCAAATATTAGATATCTTGTTTTTTATCCCTGACCTCTTGCTAGGCTCAGTGACCCAACAAATACTCATTCACATTAGTGTCCTTGAAGGTGGGTTATGTGTTAAACCAGTCGAAGTTGTCAGTAATCAATTTTTTGCTCAAACATCTGTCAAAAGACTTAAACTTTACAAACTTTTAATCAGCTTTTCCAAAATCAAATTTCTTTTATAAATTTAATCAATTTAGGGGTTGTTTGTTTATCTCTTAATAGTTTCATTAAGAGACAATCTCTGAATCGTTAAGAGGTAAATCTTGTTTGGCAAAAAAAAAGTCTGCCTATTAATGGTTTTAAAACCCTCTGAATGATTTTGTATCTTGTGTTTCCTTTAACCATTAAGAGCCCTAATTTCATTGTACACAATTACCAAACAATATGTTTCATTTTGCACTATATCATGAAAGTCTCTTAATCATTTTAACCACTTAATCATTCTGCAGCAAAACATTTATCAATTGTCGAAGCTAATTAATTAGGAAAAAGATATATTCAATAAAGTTTATGCAGTTAATTAATGAATATCAAAAAACCTGCATCCATTTGTCGTGGTTTTTTTATACCCATCGAATATGGTACTTTATGGCGACAAGATCCTCCATCCCCAAAGTTGCCATAATCATTTTTCTTGAAATATCATTTTTTATAAGTTTTTTAATCAAAAAAATGAAATATCAGACATAAAATCTAAGCAATATATATATAAATGATGAGGGTCAGAACCTTCAATTAGGGATATCTAAATGCAATCTCATCCAGCGATGCAACAATCACTGAGGTTTTTCTCAAAGACTTGACAGCTTTAAGAAGGGGGACCAAGTTTGAAGACGTCTCTTAGATATATATATATATATATATATATATATATATTACTAATTATATATATATGTATCAGATTCCAAGGTGCAGAAGAAGGTTTTGAATCATTCAAGTTAAAGGATCAATTGAAGTTGGTTGAGTTTATATAGAATCTTGAAGGAAAAAAAGATGAATTATTTTGGGGATTCTGGTGGGAATGAAAGATCGTCATCTGCAGGTGGATCATCATCAAGAAAAGGGAAAAAGACTGGTTCAGATAAGCCAAAGCAACCTCAGAGAGGTCTTGGTGTTGCTCAGTTAGAGAAGATCAGACTCCATAGCCAAATGGGGTTTCTTCCACAGGTCTCATCTCTCTCTCTCTCTCTCTCACACACACACACACAAAAACACACATAAAAGATTGGCCTTTGAGATGTCATTGGAGGAGCTCGAGAGCATATGGGACCTGATCATTGGACACTGATCGATCAGAGGCTGAATTGAAGTATATATGTACATATATCATCGGACTTGTGTGTTCAAATTGACTGATCATTGAACCTTGAATTAGGGTTTTCAAGAAGTCTGATTAACCCTCGATTTGTTTTGCCCATTTTCATCCACTTTTGATCGTTCTACATGTGTTCATTTCCATGATTAGTTAGCTTATTAAACGCGATCACATTTAGTTTTTCTATCACAAACTCATCACTGTTCATCTAAAAGTATAAAAAACATGCAAGAAGCAGATGAGAAATTGAATTGAACCATCAAAGTAATGTTTTTTTGTGATACCTCTGGATTATTGTATGCAGGAGGATATCAGGATTCAAACAGCATATTCATCATCATCTTCCTTCTCATACAGTTCACCATCTACAGCTTCTTTCAGTACTTTGCAAGGACACCAATCCCACATGGTATTCTATATGAACTCTCTCTCTCTCTCTCTCTATATATATATATATATGTATATGTATATTCATATGCCCTTCAACTAATTTCTCAGCCAGATGAAGCTTTTTTCCTTTCTAACAAATTTGATTACTTCTCTACATTCCCCCTTAAGTTCAACGCTATGGATATGCACACATATACATGTGTATATATATATATATACATGCATTTGAAGATATCATAATTAATAAGTAAAGAGTTGATGATTCTTAATAAGATATTGGCTGAATCTTGAAAAAAATGCAGATGGGTATGGGGGAATTTGAAAGAACCAACATGGTATGTGGTGAATCACAACCTAGCATTAACCCCAGGTAAACCCCGCCCCTTGTATGTATGTGTGTGTGTGTATATATATATATATATAGATATAGATATATCAATGATTTTAAGTATTCTTAATTATTCTCAATTTTGTTATCATTTTATTGTTCTTGATTTTCATTAAGAAGGTATTGATTAAAATTAACTGATCCTATAAATCAGATGGGATGTAAGCAATGCCATGTTAGAGGCTCAACGCTATGCACAACCTGCAAGCAGACACCTTTTCAGCCCAGAATTAATAGAAGTAAGTGCATACTATATATCTAGATTTATATACATATATATATATATATACATATATATATATATATACACATACATATAAGACATGTATATCTACATTTCTCTTCTCTTTGTTGGAATAGTAGCTCATTTGTTGTTTGTTATGCTGCTGTGTATTTGATCATATGTAAAGGAATCATTTAGGAAGAAGAAAGGGAAAGATCAAAATGACTCAATGGGATCAAGCAGTCAGAATTCCGATTCGAATGGCAGCCAAGAATTAGATCTGGAGCTTAGACTTTCGCTTTGATTCAAACAAATTCTCTTTGTGATTGTGATCGATAAACCTGATCTTGTTATCTCACTTATGAATTGAGGCGAAAAATCGCATAACTCATTGGAAATTCCAAAGTTAAAGATGCAAGAACAGCAACTTAATTAAGATTATTGACTCATCAATTCTTCAGTGTTTTAATTTTTTAGGGTTTTGCTATTAATTGCTTAATGACGGAAAAAATCTCTCACTGATCAGTGAGAGATTGGCAAAAAACCAGTTCTCCCGCTGATCCCTTACATTAGACATTTTTTATTTCGTCATTTCCTACGTGTGTATGTGTGTGTGCGCATATGCATATATACATATGTGTGTGTGTATATATATATATATATATATATATATATATGTATATTCTCTTGGAAATATAAGTTTGAATAAGTAATATATTGAATGATTTAAAAATGTGATTGAAAATTAGCATCCAACACATTAAGACTTGAGTGTTAAAGATATGTTATGTTTGGGATGGAGTTGGAGGTATATTAATTACATGTAGTGTTTATTTTGTTGTTGCATTTAAAAAAAAACAGTAATGGAATGATAATGCAATAAAATAAGAATATTAAAACGTCTGGAAACCATGAATATGATTAAAAATGCAGCATGCTTGACACATGTATCTCACCTACTTACATTCAAATCATATATATTTATACTTCAAATCTATTCATTATAATAGATAACCATCCTGTAGACCAACAGTAGACGATATATATATATATATATATATATATATATATATATATATATGGGACAAGATCAAATGTTAACCAAAGTTTTTGTGTTAACTTTGCAAACCATGTCAACCAATCACAATCCATTCTTCTATTAGGTTTCTATCATGTTCACAATTTAATGTCAAGGGTAATTGAGTAATTTCATTTGCTATGTAACTCCCATACCATTAAAGGGGAGTTACAAAATCATAAAATYCCTAAAAATATACATTTATAATATTGATATTTTTATTTATTTTTTAATCTTGATCTTTAATTTTTATTGTTTTATGAGTTTTTGATTCATGTATGAAACATGGTAGTAAAATCTTAGGTATCGTTCAAGGTATTATGGATAAATGCATTGGATAACAAATCAACAACATTGAGAAGATTAAAATGGTTTATGGTGACAATCAGAGTTCGAGTTCGGGAAGTGAATAAATTAACCAAAGCGAATGTCTTGGTAATGGATTAATATTTTAATAGACTCGTTTTAATCGAAATTATGTTCATTATGATGTGTTGTGTTTTTTGTAGTTCATATTGCATTGATAACTTTTTTCTTTAATTATTAATACTTACCTAATTCACATGTTCAAATGGAAGTACATGCACGACCCATTTTCATAGTCATATTACCGATTTTTATTAATCATGAACCATTGTGTTCATGTTACTTCTATAATATGAACACAAGTGTTATTTTTTAAGCTTGATACCAAATCTTTATATTTGTGTAAGTGTTTGTACCCGATGTTCATTGCGTCGGGGTTATGTGTTCATATATTTTATACGATATGAACAAGGAGTGAACACGATATGAACAATGAGTGAACACGATATGAACAATGAGTGAACACGATATGAACAAGGGTTGAACAACCACATAAGACCAGAAACATATATGAACAAGAGGTGAACCTTAAACGGTGTGGATGCAATGCATGTATAAAACTCCAATTGACAAAGGATCACTCCTGAATGTGTTTATAATAAAGGAACTATTGTTCACAAGCTGTTCAAATTGTGTTCATACCTGTTTTTCTATTTATTTCCTTTCGTATAACAGTTATTCATATTATGTTCATAAATGCTATGCAGTCCAAGTTCATATATATGTCATTTTTTGTTCGTATTTGACATAATGGTTTATATATATATATATATATATATATATATATAGTTGTGTTCTTATGATTCTTACATTAATAAAAATAAATTAACAAAAATCATAAAAAAAAATTGATTGTGTAACTCCCAATTAATGATATGGGAGTTATATAATTTTTTTTACCTAAATACCCTTTTCAACTTTGTTCACTTATCTTTATGAAAWTTTAAATTTAAAAAAATAAGTTTTTATCATGATTAATCACAACCGTTTATTGAAAGATTGAATGACCAAGATCGGTTAACAAAGTTAACACAAAAACCTTGGTTAACATTTGA